GAGCCTGCCATTTCACAGAAATTGTCCCAGTAGGAAACCAATAGGGATTGCCATCTTTCCATTATAATATTCTGTCCCATGTGGGGAGAGGTGCACCAGTGACTTCCCATGCAACTTAGGAAAAGGCTGCAGTTCTTTCTCAGTTAAAAACAATTTCGAGAAAGATTTGGCTTGCAGCTACTGCCTTTATGTTGATTTCACATACTGTGACTCCTGTGATGCAGGAAGCCTCCTGATCCATCCTGGGCTGAAAGAACACAGGATTTGGGATCACTGTTGTTCTTGCTCTGGATTTGTGATGTTCATTATGTTGGGGCTTTAGGTTTTGTTTAACTGTTTTTCTGGACAAAAAGATCGTAATTTTTTAATCCGTGGTGTTAATTTACCTTTACTTAGAATGTTGATGTTTCTTTCTCCCTGAACGTATGTGTATCAACTTTCAATTAATAGATATGAAGGTGAAAGATCTGAACCATTGTCCCAAGTTGTCTGCTAATTAAGTGTGGTTTGGGTTTTTTTTTTTGAGATTTGTCAAAGGGGTGCTAAACCACAGAGCTGTTTTTTTTGTATTTCAGCCATTTGCTGTATTGCTATTGCACTAGGAACATACTTGTCCCTAGGAGATGAAGAATGAGTTATAAAAGAATGTTTTCATGTTAGTCCTAGCACAGGTCTTCACCAGATGACGTAACAGTGTTATGAAAGAGACACCAGGAGGAAGAAGTGGATGTGAAATCTGTAGACAGATGACTGGTAAATTCCAAATGGAAATTAGTGGGGGAAAACAAACAAACAAAACCAAAAAACCCCACTCAGTGCAAGATCCTACAGAAGGTGAAGGTAAAAGTTATTTACAAAGTCTCTAGTAAACGGATTCATGTTCACATGTACCTATTTTCTAATAGATTTAATTCACTCACACTCTTGCAGTCAAGCACAAAGGTGTGTGTGCCAAATTGCTCACATTTTGGCACACACATTGCATCTGCTCTGTATGTGGGACACAGAGGAAAAGGGATGCTCGCTGCTGAGACATCACTACATCTCCTGGGTTCTTCATGATTGACAATGACAAGCTAGTTTTTTGATAGATGTTTCATGACCTTGAAGAGTCAGTAGTTGTTACAGACTGGTCCTTTGCTTCAGGATCTTGGTTCAGCCTCTGTAAATTGTAGGCTAAGCTGTTGCCCATCCTCAGTTTTCCCTGTTGGTTTGAAATGTGTCGTTGTTTTACCAGCAGACTAACAGGAAAAGGAAAGGCTCATGTGGCACGTTTCAACCTTGTTGCTATCGCCTTGTTGTTAGGATGCACTTTTTTACCCTGGCAAGTCATCTGTTTTGTGGTCTTATCAGAGTTCAGGCTGTCTTGATATAAAAAACACATTCCTCAAGTTTACCACTGAGAACGATGTCCTGGGAGTAGTTTCCTGGGAGCTTCCTTTGTTATTCAGACAGGCCATTCTATTAATCCTTGTTTTACTATTTCTTCTTGTGTGTTACTATATGTGCATTTCCTTTCATATTGCACTCATACAAGTCTTAGTATGTCTATTACAATTATGTTATTGTACCAAAATTCTTATTTATTTTTATTGTAATTTGCGTATTGAGGCACATTTCATACTGAAACAGAGAAGCAGAAGCTGTAGTCCTTTTTCCAAATAGTGGTTAAACTTACCATTACAAATTGTCAAAATAGTTGTCTATCCTGAGAAAGAATTTGGTAAAGGAAAAGGCAGTCAGCTAGAGTTTCTGAAACTTCTGTCCGCATGTTAGAATGGAGAGTGTATGCACATTTAGAGAAAACTGATTTTCCGTAAAGTAGTGGTGATGAAATACAGGGAAAGTAAATATGTGTTAAGTGTAATAGACATTATACTGAATATTGCTGCTGTCTTGCATTTGGAGTATTTCCATGTTTACAGTACAAACAGCTTTTGTCACTGGTAGCATCCTGTGGCTTTTAGTGAAAGTGTTGTATGAGTAAACAAAGAGCAAAGTTCAGTCCTTTGATTATATGATAAGCTTTCTTGCATCTTCTATAGCAGCTGCTTCTGGTGTTAGGGAGAATGAAAGAGACTTTGGCAAGTATCGTGCCCTAGCTTTTTCCTTGCTGGCTTACATGGGGAGATTTACAGATGGGATCTTCATTTTCTTAGTAAGGTTGTTAAGAACACACAAGAAGTGTGCTAATAGTTAATAAAATGTCTTAAGTAAGAAGCATTATATGTTCTTTTGGAGGGAGAATGATCTAGTAATAACTTAAACACGCGTAAGAAACTTCCCCACACGTATTCTGTCCTACAGTCAGCCTTTATTAATATGCTTCTGCAGCTGTTATGACCTGTGGGGGTTTTAAATTGAAAACGAAATGGGTAGCCCATGTATTTCTACGAGTTAGGTGAGACAGGTGTACTACCTACTACTATAGATGCTGCAAGGTTCAGAATGGTGGTTGGTGGAAGACTTTGTTAAGTCAGTCTGACAGTTTGTCTGCAAGTCGTTGCTGGGTTCTTACTCATGAACATTGCAGAACAGGAAACACTACACCATATAGAAGCTGATTTCTACTGGTTTGTGCCAGAATTTTTGTTCAAGGTACAAGCCCTCATGCTTCTCTTCACTTACCAAACAAAACAGTGATTCACAAGTAAGAATTAAAGTAGGACAGAATTCCTAGTGCCTGTGCCCAGGGTGAAGCTATCAGGTTGTGCACTCTTACAGAAGTGTACGTCTTTGTTTTCCCTGAGTTGTCAGAGTGACGTCCTGTGGCCACACAATCCTTTGGTTCTGTTGTATGACTGTGTGTGTAACCTGTGGGATTTACTAATACCTTGAGGAACCGAAAGAGTAAATTCTCAGCTGGGCAGCAGGCCAGGAGCTTTTACTTTGCTGCTTTTGATGTCTCAGCTTATACGTTTTTATTGCATTTTCATTTTATCTAGCTGGGCTGCTAACACAATTACTAATCACTGGGTGTATTTTTTTTTAATTAGCTCTACTGTGAATACAGGTTTCCTGGTTATAAGGTGCTGGCAGGCTAATATGGACAAGAAAACTGTGTGTATTAAGAAGCAGTACTTCCTCCTAAGCATTGTTTTTATTTCTTTTTTTCAATATAGAAGAATAACCACTTCTGCAAATAGTACTCTGAGACTGCAAGGCAAAAATCCCTAAAGGTCATTCAGCAATGCTATTTTGAGAAATGTATGCTCTAGCGGTCATTTTCTTTCAGATATTGACAGAACTCACACCTCCACTCAGGACCTTATGTGAAAGTAACTCTGTGGAGCAGTGCAGTGTTGTATGTGGCACGTGTTGGGTGTGTTTGGCGGGAGAAAAGCAGAAGTTTACAACCTGAGATACTCATTAAGGAGTTATGTATGTGGACAAATTCCCTCAAAACAGCTTTTATTTAAATTGTATGGAGGACGTGTGGCTTGCCCGGTGTCGTAGTTTAGCTCTAGCCAGCAACAAAGAACCACATGGCCGCTCGCTCACTCCTCCCCCCTGCAGTGGGATGGGAAGGACAGTTGGAAGAAAAAGGCAAAACTCGAGGGCTGGGATAAAGAAAGTTTAACAGAACAGCAAATGAAGAGGAAAGTAACAACAATAATACTGATAAAAAGAATACACAAAGCAAGGAATACACAGTGCGATTCTTTCACTGTCCCATGCCCAGCTCGCTTCCATGCCAGTTACCCGACTCTGGCTGCCTTCCCCAGCTATATAGTGAGCATGACATCCTGTGGTATTGAATATCCCATTTGTCTGGCTAGCCTTCCAGGCTGTGTCCCCTCCCACCTTCCTCTGAAAATTAACTCTATCCTAGCTGAAACCAGGACACATGGGGTGCAAGTTACAGCATTCACTCACAGTCTAACTGGATCTAAGTATCCTGTTCCTCTTCGTACAGATGCGAGCATCTTTTCCAGTTTCAATGTCTGGCATTAAAAGATATTCGAAATATATCATCCTGTGCAAGAGTGATGTGTTACTTCGAAAGCCTGTTTGTTAGGTCATATTAATGAGCATTTATTGGACTGAGGATGGGTAGAGGGGGAATGAGGTTTTTGATGAAAGGTAGATTTCCCAGAACATTTACTTCACTGCAGTGAAGCCCATGTCACTTTTGTCTCTAAAATGCACCCAAACAGGGTGGTGCACATAAGAAAGATACCCAAATTTTATCAGTCTTTGTTCATCTGAGCTCCATTTCCACTACTATTCAAAAATCTTTTGTGTTTTCCCTTCTCCTTTAGCGCCCTTTCTCATCTGATTTTAAAATGTAAACTTAAGGCTCAAAGAGACTGCTTCCAGTCCAAGCACACAGGTTAGCATGCTCCTATATTGTTCTGTGAAATATCTTTTTCTTTCTGTTTGTGTAGTCAAATTTTCTTTGTGTCAACGAGAGCAAAACTTTGATTTTTAAGTGGCCTGATGTGACTCAGTGGAAGCAACGTAAAGGAAAGTCTTTGCTCAATGCCATATCACAGACTGCTAATTTGCTAATGTTGAAAATAACTTTCAGTCCTTCTAGTTTGTTACTTCTCTCATGAATCCTAGAGTTTAGAATAAATTTGTCTCATGAAGCAATGAATTGTAGTTCTGTTGGTTTGCTTTTTCCATATTGGTGGAGCCAAGCTTTTATGCTTGGATGTTGACATAATAGATTTTGAACATGGCTGTTCCGTATGACTTCTTCATATGTTTGGTGCTTAGAGCTTGATTATCAATCAGAAGTATCTCATACTGAAAGTCTTTTTGAAAAGTTTTTGACATAACTTGCACTGTTTTGTTCTTGGCTATGTGATTATTGTCATTGTATGTAATGGCAAGAAACAAACTCTTTTTTTTACCCTTTTGCTGGAAGTGAGTAGATATTTACATAGTCTCCATCATTAGCAAAGATTTAAATGTCAGTGAAATGTGCAAATATTTTTATTAGGAATAATTGATTTCTGATGTGGTTTTTTTGTTTCTTTTCTTTCTTCCAATAGAAAGCCATTTCATCTCCAACTGTATCGCGCCTTACAGATACATCAAAATTCACGGGTTCTCACAAAGAGAGGTTTGATCCCAGTGGGAAAGGAAAAGGCAAAGCTGGCCGAGAAGATCTGGTGGATGCTTCAGGATATGTTTCTGGCTATAAGCATGCAGGCACATATGATCATAAAGTACAAGGAAGCAAATAAGGCTGAGGGTTTACAACACGAAGGGAGAAAGAGATGGGGAAAGAGAATATGTTTGAAAGAATGATGTAGATGAATCCCACATGTTTAGTTATTGTGAATGCTAAGACTATGTTGTCAAGAAGTTGTTTTCAGGAACTGGAACTGATTTCAACATCTGCTCAGCTACTTGCAGCACAATGCCACTTCATTACATTCCTCATGCGTATATTGGCAAAAATCAATATATCGGTACAAAAAAATATATCATTTTGTTGAACTTTAGCCAAAAAAAAAACCCAACCCAAAGTCAAGAGCAGTTATACCACACATTGTCAATTCAAGCAAAAGATCTCAAACATTCCTAAATGTCCAGCTGCCCTGAGGATGTTGAAGAGAACCTTTTGAAAAGAGGGTCTTTCATAGCTGTCTTTCTGAAGAATATAATTATTTATGCAGTTTAATTTGACTGCTGTTTTGGGACTTTTAAAAAATGTCTTATACGCTATCTGGCACTTTCCTTAAAACATTGAACAATATACTATTGGGGAGTAAGTGGTTGTAGTATACGAGGTGCTAGCCTGTAAATGTCATACACCACTCATGAAAAACTGAAAAAAAGCTGTTTCTAGGACAGTATAGGTTCTAAAGTATTTTATGTCAACAGAAACAGGTGGAAAATACCAGCCCTTACTTTCCTCCTGTCTATACTTTGTGCTTGTTACTGTGTGTAGTGTAGCATGGTTCTGACTGGCTAGATGTGGATGGAGCTATTGTACTAACCTGAGAGGTGAGGAACAAGACATCCTAAGAAAGCCTGTTAAAGCTTTCTGCAGTCTGTTTTCAAGTTTGCACTGCCTCACATTTCAAATGCAGGGGCATTAAGCTAATAATGCTTTAAAATATCGACTATGACTACATTAATTTACAGTCCCTTAGAATAAGGACATTTACAATTAATATCCATGTAATCAGGTGCAATTTGCCCACAGAAATATAGTATCATAACATTTTATGTTAGATTTGTTTAAAGCCAAGGGATTTGATTCCCTGTTCACTTTTGCTGCCTAACCTGGGAGTAATAGTATTGGTGAGAATGGTTTTCCACTGCTATAGAAGGAGAACCAGTTCCACAGGCATAAGGTACAGGCAGCTGAGTGTGAGCTGTCTGGCGCCCAGAATGCCAAAACGGTTTAACAGGAATAAAAATAACTCATTTTTTATATTGGTTAAAAAGGAGAGAAAAGTCTGGTCCAATTTTCCACAAGAGCTGAACAAGTACCCTAGTGTACTGCTCTGCTTCTCTAAAATTATGAAAGATAAGATTTTCGGTATTCAAAAACAGCTGCTAGCAGTTCTGCTTTGCTTTTTGCCAAAAAGAGCTCAAGCACTGGTTTTCATGTTCAACTCTGAATAAAGGTTAATAAATTTATTGCTCTCCCCCACTGGTATCAGCATCCCACTCAGAGTACATAAAATTTAGTGAGCAGTGTGTGCAGCCGTGTGCCATGCAGGTCAGCAGTCTGCATTTGGCCAGTGCCTGGAAACAGCGCACTCGTTTGCAGCCCTTGAACTGTTCCTGTTTTGTTTTTCTGACACTGAATGGCAGCCTTTCTTACAGCTTTGCCTCCAGTGACCCTTTGAGCCCACACATCAGCCTGAAACCAAAACAACAATAGCAAACAAAGGCAAGGACTTGCTTGTGGGCTGGGAGATTTTTTTTTGTTTATAATTTATTTTGGATGTTGTTTTGAAGAGGGTGGGAATTTTGCCAAAACTCAGCACATGTTCTTGTAAAGATGTAAATGGCTTTTCCCATGGCTGGCTCTAGTTATCTGGGAAGATTTTTTTGATGTATGTAAGGATGCACAGGATGAGAAGCATCCAGCTTCGTGAAGCCTTTCCAAGAGTTACCCACTATTCTTGAAGAAAAATTTCCATGGGGTGAAGCATTATCCACTCCTGTGTTGCACTGGTGACCTGTCACACTCTGAGGCAGAAAATAGCATACTGCGATACCAACAGTAGCTAAATTATTGCAGCATGGTAGTGAACTGTCTAAACATAGAGAACCTTCTTTTAGATCACTGGTGCCTGTGCACCTAAAGAAGGTTCCAAGATAGTCCTGATTTTTTGTGAATAAAAAGGCTAAGCCTCTAGGCCTTGATAAATCCTTCAGCTAAGTCACAGGCAAAACCAGTGTCCCTGTTCTTCCTGTTGACTTTAAGACTTGATGCATTAACTCACTGGTAACTGAAAAGATCTGGACCCACACCGACTGAAGGGTGAAGTCCAATCTACTGCGGAGCCCTTCCAGTACACTTGATGTGGCTCTTTGTTGCGAGCTAGCTGCCTCGTCTGGCACATCAGGTGATCCTTACCCTGAGGTGCACGAGTGACAGGCTTTTTCAGGTACCCAGGTACTGAGTGTCAGTAACGCCAGACTTGCTACACAGGAGGAGTGATTGGTTAGAAAGGTTTTAAGGTATAATTAAGTTGCTGGCTCACAGTGGAAGAGAACAGCACGCTCGTAAGATAGAAGGTGTGCAAAGGAGTTGAGGATGCAGACAGATCCAAGCTGACACTGACTAGAAATTGAGCTATTCTGCTTAGATAAGGCTGATGGAACTACCTGGGGTTCTGCCAGAGTTGACGTTGCATTACTTGTACAGTATGAAAACCCTGCCATGAACCAGAGCACTTTGTATGGACCTGATGCAAAGTTCTTGGAAATATTTTCAATGGCATAGTAAGCTTTGGAGCAGGACCTGAGAATATGCTTCAGATAGCAGTATTTGATTTTGAGGAACACACTGCTCTGTTTCTTCTTCATTTCTACAGTTGGGTAGTTTTAAAACTGATTGAGTTTTAAATAAATTTTAAACAAATGCATGAAAAGAAGTCATTCTGATATGACAGTGACAAAGGGAAGTTGTGGTTGGAAAGACAGTACTTTGGAAAGATTTTTCACTGTTACTCACTTGGCATGGAAGTAGACTCACAGTTTTCCACTAGTATCTGTAGGAAAGCCTACATACTGTCTTGAACGCTAGCCATTAAGTTCCAGGCCTGCTTGGAAATGAGGCAAAGTACATTACTTTTTCATCTGCTGTTCCCTCCACTCTCAGGACAGCAAGTACAGCTGGTACCTCAGAGGTGAGGGGAAGAGCGAGCTCAGGAGAGGCAGGAGGTGACCCATTTTCAACCCTTGAAGTGTTGCAGAGCATATGCTCTTCCTGTGCACCATACTGCAGACTGTAACTACATGTCATGTCTGAAGTAACAATGTGGGTACCTAATAAGGTTTACACTCATCTTTTTTGGGGCATCTGAACTCATTCCATCTAACTTTCCAGTCTGATTTTCAGCATTTCATCCTGTGCAGCACTCTTCTATGTGACATCTTCTGTAAAACCCTGTTGTTCCTAATTATCTTTGCTTTTATTACCGCTGAACATGCTACCAAAAGAAATGTGATCAGAAAGTTCAGGTAGCTTTTAGCAATTACTGCCTTAAAGATCAAACTTGGATTACACTGTTCATTTAAAATTAAACCCGTAAATAACTATGGCAGTACAAAATCTTAACCTGTATCTCCACTGAGGCTTAACCCGACCGTCAAAGCCTTTGCAAGATTGAGGACAAGAAATAAAAATCCTCACTGAAGCAAAAAAACAGTACTTACAAATAATTTTCTAAAAATAACCTAGTTTTTAAATAAAATATGCAGAAGTCAAATAGGGTTTTTTATTAGTACTTGCTTACTAATTCCCTCTAGTCACTCCATGTGCTTTAGTTACTTGTTGAGAGTTTTGCAACAATCTTATCAATACAGAAATATCAGAAACAAAAATTGTTGTTCTTCTTTTTGTGGCTATCAGAGCTATCACAATAGTGTTACTGAGAAGCAGGCATTAAAAAACATACATTGTTGTTTCAGCAGTCCTATGTGAACAGCTATCATTAGCTGTAGTCCTATTTGGAATCCCAAAGGCATGTTGAACATTGGACAGTGGCCGAGATCTAGCCACTTTTTTTTTTTTTTTTAACCTGCAATATTTCTTACCTCTTTTTCACTTTAGGGAAGGGAAAGGGAGATTTCAAAACTACTCACATGTCACAACTTGTGTTTTTCACCAGCGTAGATATTGTCCTTCAAAGATATTTTGGATTGAAGTATGATATTTTCCATGTATTTTACTGACCTTACCTAAATTAAAAATTCCTTTGACAACTTTTTGGCATTATAGAAAGCTTTGTTCATGAATCAGCATTTCAGTCACCCATATTTTCCCTCTGTCGGATCAATTAATATTTTTTATGGTAGCTGGAATTAGCCAGAACTAAAAGGCAAATGACTGCTATGGGTTTGGCTTGCAAGTGGTACATATCCCAGCCAGCTGTAACCATCTCTAGAAAAAATCCTTGTGTATCTTTCCACAAAGCCAAAACTTTAAAGTTGTAATTGGTAGTTATTTACTTAAGGCTTGTCATAGTTATAAAATAAATTTTAATGATTTCTGCCTGCATGTATGATATTCAAAACACAAACCTGCCTTTCAGTGATGCATGTATTCTGGGGGCATGTGCCTGTCATCCACAAATGAGACTTCTCTGTTGACACTAGCCAAGAAACAAACATCTTACCTTCATGACAGAGCAAATGTAATGTTGCACTAGTATGTGTCCTCTTAACTGACTGTTAGCCTTGCATGTGTGCCAAAATAGCTACACCTTTGTGTACATTGTTTGTAGTGTGAATATTATGTACTTGGCTCGTCTATTAGTTGGTAATAAGTAATGTAATACATGAGACTTGTACGGGGGGGTGTGTGTACACATACTCTTTGGATACAGCTAAGTAATTAAATGATGTAGGTGTTCATCTAAGCCTTGAATCTTATTAGAGCCAAACTCGAGTCCTGCAGCCAGTGCTGTTCAGCTTGGCCAGTTGGTGACACTGCCGTTCTTCCTCCATGGCATGAAGGTAAAGGTCTAAGGAAGCTTTTATGTTTTCACACGTCTACCTGCTCCTGTTTCTGGGGGAGATTGCTCTTCAGTGATTCCAACATAGACTTGGTGTGACAAGAGTTTATCTGTAGTAAGGAAGTAGGGGAGAGAGTCAGGGTGAAAGCAAGGTTTCCTCCAAGTGCTCTCAAGAGACCATTTAAAATATGCCCTCCATGGACCCTGTATTTTCCTTTGCCCCAACTTTGTGAAGCAAGTTGACACTCACTATGTATACACACAGTTGTTCATCATCAGTTAGTCAGTACAAAGTCATGGTATATTGAGGTGGGAACAGGAAACAGGACTGTTGTACAATGCCTATGGAGTCTT